GTTGAGTACCCCTCGTCATCAAATAGCACCCCCCATGCCTTGGCTTCCGAAAAAACGCCAACGTTTTGTATGGCTGAGGTGGCCTGTGTCTCTCCTATCCCGTAGACTTGTGGCTGGGCATGTATAATAGGCGGTATGCGACTGCGGAAGCGCACAGTCGGGCTTTCGGGGAGGACATCTGCGGTAGTAAAGCAAGGAGAAGTGCTCTGAGGGGATGAGAATTGGGAGGTAGAAACAACAGAAGGCGGAGGACTGGGGTAGGCGGTACCAAACATGGAGTTCATGAGAGCGGGCGGCGTGATAGCCGGCGAGGGTGTCGGATCCATGGATGTGAGGTGACCAGCAACTGATTCGTTCGTATCAGCATGCCCAATCGACGAATGCTGCCCTTCTAGGAACAGGAATAAACACTCACTTTCCTGTTTGATCATGGTACGCAATTCATCCATGAAGCTAGGCGTCACGCCCGTCATGTCGTGGCGTGATTGAGCCGATGCGGTGATCAGACTTACAGAGCTGTGGGACATCGCGGGCGAGGCGGGCGTCTGTGGAGTCTTTGGCACTTCGCTGCCCTGCTTGTCATCGGTATCGCTTTCGAACGATGCTTCGGACGATACGGGCGAGAGTTCTAGACCAGGTACCCGCATGCCGTCCCCATCTTCGGCGACATCTTCGACCTGCGGAGGCGGCGGTGGCGGCGGTTGGCGTCCCACGGTGGTATCCACCAATGATCCCACTGCCCTATGTCCGGCACCAGCACCAGCGGCACTCGTGATAATGCTTGACATGACGACCATGAGTGCTGAACACTGTGTGGCAACGAAAGTGAGTAAGATCGCAGACGTGGGCAACAAATGAATATACAAAAGAGCTTCAGTGTGGTAAATTGCACGCCGGGCGCTGAACCACTTATACCACATCGAGGTCCCCTCATTGTAGCCATCTTGCTCTAGGCAAACACCATGACAGCAATGACAGCAAGTCGTCATCGTGTCCATCCCGACCACTCAAAAGCCTCGTCAAAATGACGGCTCGATCACATAGGCTGACCACGAGGGAACACATTTGCTGGCAAAACAGACGCAGAAAACATGCAAAGGCGCTGCATGGTGGCACTCTACCAGGCTGGAGGCCAAAGAGGTCGGGCGATGATGGTGCACACACTCGGTATTGGTGCGGTCGCCTCGCGCTTGCGCTGTGGCACTGACACAACAGGACAATCCTCCAGCCTTAACCACCTAACGAAAGAGGAGATGATTGATGGCCATCAAACGACATGATGCATGGGGTACCGACGAAAAGTAATGAGGGGAAGAACGGCAGATGGGCACCGGATACTAGGGGAAAACATGTCGGCTCGAGCAGCCGCATGGCCATTGCCATGGTCGTGGGCGCGAATGACGCCAGCCTCGTGTTGCCCCTCGGTACATAGGATGAGATATCAGCCCCCTGGTATGAGTCTGGAGATACCAAACTTTGCGTCGGATAGTCTTCTGATCACTGATCAACCTGGAAGAGCCAGCATATGGTCCTTCAATCGTGCTTGTGGGATAAAAAACAGAATGAAGACTGTGTGACGGCCCTGCAGTTGGCCTCGCGCAGACGAGATGAGATACACAAGAACAGAGGGTGGATGGGAAGGAAATGCCCGAGACATGAGGAAAGACAAGCCCACGAGTTCGGGTAACCGCCCTCTATGAATGCGCATGCCTCTGAGGCGAGACAAGTGGTACGGACCCTACCAGCCCACCTGTGGGCACATTGCTGGGAAATATGTGCCAGGAGGGTGTTGCTGTCGTGACACCCATTGGGCACCCAGGCATAGCCTGCCCAGCCCCTTGCCACCAGACAAGGCAGCCAAGTGCGGTTCGCAACTGTTGCCTCTCTGGAGTTCGCGAGCCCACTCTCATGCTGCGGTACAAGGTTGGCGTTCCGCCCTGTCTGACGAGGAAACTTGCCGACTTCCACTGGGATCTCTCCCGGCATATTTTGTCCAACGAGCGTACCTCGCCATGTTGACCGGCGCTCCTTCGGATCCGTTCCCCGGCCGATGATGGCGCGACGAAGTAGGCGATGCCCTCTTTCCCGGTGGAGGGTCGGAAGCGGTCCTCGACGTGCCATCGCCGGGTGCGCGCTACGTCAGAGATCGATTAACACTGCGTCGTTGTTTGACCCATAAGACGAGAACATGTCCACCAACAGCTGCTACTCTGGAAGAGCTTCTGCGAACGAGCACTCGTCGGCAGTTCCTCGTACGACGCCAGCGCTGTTCATTACGCCACGACGCTCTTCTCCAGCGTCAATCACAAAGATATCTCGAGAACAAGCTTGGACGAACGCACAAATCACGGCTTCGGCAGATGGTGGAGAAGGCCCGACATGGGACTGCATATGTGACGAAAATCAAATACAGTAACAAGACTTGTTGTTGCAAAGACGCATCCCTCGCTCCTGCCGCCAAAGCCCAAAGTATATGCCAATCAGACGCCCGCCACATGTGTGTATCCCTCTGGTTCTGTGTTCTTTTTGTTCTGCCCCGCCTTCATGCCTTGTACAGCAGATCCAGGAAGCCATTGACAAGGTCCACGACAACGCTCTTATTCGGAAGCGACCCAGCCACACCGTACAGCGCTGCCGAGTCACCCTTGGCCGTACCCTTGGCGCCCTTGCCCTCGACAATCCTCACCCTCTCCTTCTCCCGCTCCGCCTCGACAACAGCCTCCAGATCCGCCATCAGCTTTTCCCAAACCTTGGTGATCGGCAGTGTAACTGCCACATGAATCGCCGGCGGGTTCTGCAGAGCGTTGAGGTGCCATCCCTTGGTGCTCATCGCGTCCGCAATGTCGTAGATGTCGAGGTTGCGCGCCGTGAACGCCATGACCGAGACAAGCGGCCTCCCCACAATTTCGAGCTCGCTCTCTAGTGCCGGCACCTCGTGGATCCTCTCAATCATCTTCTTAGTTGTGCCGACAATCTTCACGCACGCGTCCACGTAGCCAGCCTCGCCAGTCTTCATCAAACTCGTCCAGCAGCCTGCAATGAGAGCGCCAGGTCTCGAGCCTGCCATTCCAGGCGAGCCATAGACGCCGCCAGACCAATCTGGTGAAACGTAGTACTGGTACTTGCGCAGCGCGGCTGTGCGGTACAGAACTGTTGAGTTGCCCTTGGGCGCAAATCCGTACTTGTGTGTGTCGCAGCTAATACTCGTGACGCCCTTGAGTCGGAAGTCGAAGAGCTCGGTTTCGAATCCGGCCTTGTCCAGGAACGGCACCAGGAACGATCCTAGACAGCAGTCGACATGCAGGCAGATCTTCTTGCGGAGGGCGAGCTTTGACAGCGCCGTAATGTCATCGATGATGCCATGGGGGAAGTTGGGCGCTGATCCTACGATGAGGATGGTATTGCTCGTGATGAGGCGCGCAACGGCCTTGACGTCCACCTGGTGCGATGGCGCCGGGCATGGCACGAACTGAGCCTTAATCTTGAAGTAGTCGCATGCCTTGCGGAAAGCTGGGTGTGCGGTTTCGCCGAGAATCCTGTAGTATTCCTGTTAGTCGCCAATTATGAATAGCCGAGGTGGAGGTTGGATATGGGGCATACATTTCGGGCTCAGTGATGCCCTTCTCGTGATAGCCCCTCTGTCGCGCGCTCAGGCACGCCGAGAGGATACTGTCTGTACCACCGCTGGTTGAAACGCCGGCGGCGCCGGGAGGCGCGTTGAACATGGCGAGGACCATGGCGACAACCTCGGCCTCCATTTTCCGGACGCCGGGGAAGACGTCCGGGTGGATCGGGTTGGCGACAGTGAACTTGCCGTACGCCTCCGTCTGTAGCTTGATCAAGTCTTCCTCGCCATGGTAGACGGCGCCGGACACGTATCCATCCTCCCAGCGCGTATGGTCCATATTTGCAAGTGTGTCGAGCTCGGTGCGAATGACGTCGTCAGAAAGACCCTCCTTGGGAAGGGTCAGGTAGCGGGTGAGATTCGTCGGCACCATCTTGCCCTGCAGCTTGCTCAAGCTCTCATTGACCTGCTTCTGCACCTGGCCGCGTACACCGGGGGCGCGCAAGAAGTAGCCATACAGGACCCTACGCAGCGAAGTGTAGAACTCCGCGATAGAGCCGATCAGGCCGCGGCCCTTCAGCTTCCAGAATGTCTTGCGGGTCCATCGAACAACGAAGAAGAAGAAGACAATGTTTCGAAGACTGCAGGAAAGAAATAGAACTGTCAGCTAACGTAGTTGAATGGGAGGTTACGCAAAAACACCCAGTCGTGTGGCACAACGAGAATCGCCGACTTACAGATCGAGGTTCAGGATAAGGAAGGGGTTCGTTTGGCGGGACTTCTTAACATGGTTGAAGCCATCCCGAAGGCTCACGGGCATGCGCGAGCTGCCAGGCATCTTGGGGAGGGAACCAAATAGCTCGGGACACTGGTCAATCGGAAAATGTACAGGTGGCGATAATGATGTCTGGTGGTACAATTGGAAATGTCGGGGCGGATGCGACGGGCACGGCCTTGGACTTTAAGCTTCCCCAAGACCTCTAACCCCAAAGTCGATGGAAGGCGAGAACAGCGACCCAAGCCGTCCAAAAAATGGTGGGGCATGGCCATTACTTGGATATTTTGGCCCTTCACATGCCCCGGCCTGGCAGCGCCGTCAGTGGGGTCGTACAGGGGTTCTCCCCCCCAAACCTACCCCCAACATCTCTCTAGCGAGCCGAGGCCTTGCCGTTTTGGATGCTGGCTGACCTCATTTGGCTGCACCGCGCTGCAACCTCAGTGCCGCTTTCACAGCTCCGCGCGCCTCGATTCAGTGCCCGTCTCCACCCTGTTGAACATCACCAGACTGCGGACCTTCCAATCTGGTGGTTATCTTGTCGAGTCCGTAGGTCGTTGTGCAGGTGCGGGGGTTGGAAGTGGCTGTCACACGGGTTTGGGGCCTGTCTTGACATAGGTAAGGTAGGTACAGTAGGTATCGACTGACTTTCGGAGTTGCCGCCGATTGGCTCACTGTCATGATGACCTCAGTTAGTAGTCGGGGGACTAACTTTGAACAAGAGATTCCGAGTGCGCAGGCCGGCATGACAGTGCCGAAGGATTTGCAGCTCTCTCCTTACTCTCATGTCTGGAAAACAACGTTGTATGCACATCGTACCCAAGGTAGCTTGGGTGAGCTTGTCATTGCCAAGACCAAACATCGGGGGTCAATCCATTGCCTCAAGACCAGAGGATCCCAGGCCACCTTTGTACCATCTAATGCAACACCAAAATTTACAACTATACAGGCCTCGAGGCCATCGAGGATGCTCCTTTCCCTAGGCTCTCGCATCACCTGAATGCAGGAAAAGCAAAGAAACGCCGTCGTCCACAAATCCTTACACCCCAGCTCGCAAGTTGATGCCAAAACGCTGCCAGTGAAACGCCGCCGAAAGACATCGCGCACCCTTCGCTTCCATGTCCGCGTCAGTCCATCTCATTTATAAGCCGCGAATGCTCTTCCCATTGTGTCTTGAAGCTAGCGAGCTCCTTCTCGCAGCTTCTCTCGCCCGTCGGCGTGCAACCCGTCGCTCGAACGACATAGTCGCCTGGCCTGTAGAGCTCCTGCGCCTTATCATAACGATTGTAGGCATTAATGGTCTTCTGCGGCACCAAAGCCAGCTTCGCGAGGATCGTCCCGTGCCACTGAACGAGGTGTTCCTGCGCGCGGCGAGTCAGTTATGTTTGCCTGTCAACTCCGCCCTTCTTGCTAAGAAGACTTACCAGCGCGTGACCCTCGGCCTTTTGGAAATTGTATGTCTGGTACATCGGGTCGAACCAGGTCTCGAGGAAGAACCGTGCCCAAACCCCATTCCGCACAACCCAACTGCCCGCCGATAGGCCCTCACGGTCCTGCGTCACCACAAAGTCGACATCCTTGCCTCGCAGTCGAGTACTTGTCTTAATGATGCTGTCGGGCGGAACGACGGGTTCGTTCTTAATCATGAATGCGTCGAGCGTTGCGCCGTTCATGATGCGCTCCTCAAGCGTCTTGCTCGGATCCATAATGTAGCCATCTTGCTCGAGATACCAGACATAGCGACACTCGGGAAACTTGGTCATGGCGTGACGGACTGCGAGAATCTTGGACCACGAGGAAGGTGAATCCTCGTCGAGGGGGTAGTCGCCCACATTCGCGATCAGGGTTTCGTAACCTGTGAGAAATGCTGTTAGTCGACCGCCTCGAATCCAACACGTGGCAATGCCCTGGGGATCATGTTCCTACCGTGAAACGCGGCGTATCGCTCTCTATTCTCCCGAATGCTCTGCACGTATGCCTTGCCGTACGTCGACTCGTCCAGCACCGTCACCAGCACCACCGGCGGACTCCCTGACGGCTCCCAGGCCACTGTGCTACGCGAGCCAAACAGCTTGGAGATGATCCATAATGTGCTCACGAAAACAAGCGCCACAATCGCTACGGCTCGTATGCGACTCCGCCGCACCGACGGCAATTTTGAGGACCGCGGGCGGAAGGGCGCGGGGTTCGAGCTTTTCCGCGGGGGGTAGGCGAAATGCATTGTACACGGTGTCGCCGGGAAAGCCGCCACCAAAGATCGAGTCCAGGAGATCGACTGGCTGTGCCAGAGTACAATCTTCAAGGAATCACACTTGCGTTGCAGCAACGGCGTGATGTATTGGGTGGATAAAGTAGGCGGGCAAAGCCGAAAGGGGATGCGCTCGATTGAGGTCGGGACGACAGGTGTGCAAGGGTTGGAGACCGCTGAGTCGAGACCCAAGGGATGGTATACGAGTGTGATCGAGGCGCCGTGTTCGGTCAGACAGAATACATCGTGTCTTAAGCGTGGAAGACCCCCCGAAGATTTACGTTAAGGTTTACTTGTCAAATGCAACTCGTTGAAGCCAAGACCTCGAATTGAAGATTCGGGATCGGCAGCAATGCATACATAGTGACCAGGGTTGTATCCACATCTGATAGATAACTGTCCCGTTTAGAGCGATGTCACTCATCCTCAAAATTGGCTGCAAACTCATCAAGTTGAGTGAGTGACTACGATCACGCATGAAGGCTATTGGGGTAAAAGGTAAAGTGCATAAGTGAGATTGAAGATATAACTAGTCCCTCGATCAGCTTCTGAAATGTATCAGCTGAGGCCAGCAGTGATCACGAGTCTGGCTGGTATGCCATGATCACCACGGAAGGCGAGGAGCAAAGCTCCAAAGAACAAAGCTCTGGAACAGTGCTCGTCATCGAGGCTGATCGTCTTCTGCAGTTCCAGATTGGAAGAGACCAAAACGGCCGCTTCCAGAGAACAAGCAGTGACTCAATCTTTGCACACAGACTAGTTGACACGATGTGGAAGAGAAACTTCGAGGCAACTTAAGAGTGTGCAATGCGGGCTATCAGCGGTAGTTGCCGGGTTGGACCATACAAACACGCCTTTTCCGATACGCGCTGCTGTCACCATGCTTACGATCATGACACATCGTCTTCCTGTGCAGCGCACCAAGTTAGTCCTCATCATCATCTTCGTTACCCACATCCAGTACACTGTCGCCAGCTCGCTGGAGGACCGTATGGCTCAGTGAGTTTACAGCCTTCCAAACGGTGTAGATGAAGGTCATAGCCCCGATCATGACGAGGGCCCAGCTGATACCTTCGCTCCGGTTACGACCGCCTCCTCCGCGACGGCCACCTCCACCCATGATGCCGCTGGCTCTCATGTTCCACCATTGCCATGGTGACATGGCAATGAGATACTTCAAGAAGCCGACAATACCAAGAGAGAGGAAGCCCTTGACGAAGTGCTCGTACCATGTTCCATCTCCAGGAACGTGTACAGGCTCTGGAGGGCGACCAAAATCGTCAAACGAGCCAACGACAGTTTCTGCAATGGTCCCGACCGGATCAGCCCAGAGGTTGAAGATGGGATCTGCCACAAAGCCCAGCAAAAAAACCGAAAACACAAACACAAAAGCCGTGAGGCTGATTTGCGCGGTACCGCTCTGAAGCCGTGTGCCCCAGGATAACCGACTCAGCTTGTATTGGTACTTGCATGTTGGGCACGTGAAGAAGTTTGCGGACCGCCTCGTCTGGTCCGCGGTTCTCCAGGCTCTCAGGCAGCCCTCATGAACGTACTTCTGTGATCCTTTGCACTTGCAGGGCGATATCAGGCGACCCAAGCCGTCTGCAGACATGTATACAGGCTTGGCGCCAGATCCCATCATGCCGACTAAAGTGCTTGTGTTGCCAGTGCTGGGCCACGTAGGATTGCACTCTTCAAGACATATGCGACAACTCCGCGGACCATAGTGTCGTGGACGCGGTTGTGGTTGTGGTTGCGACTCAAAATCTGCTCTTCTTTGAGGAGGCTCCGTGTGCTGGGACTCGTTGTGGTTTGAAGATTGGCCATCATGATCGCTCGCACTACTGGCGCTCGGGACGTCGTCAGGCCAAGTCCACTGAGCAGTAGAGGAGTCCATTCTAAGGTTTGAACAGCTTCGGATAGTGGCGTGAATTTGTGGTCGATCTTCAGGCCCGGTGTGGGATGGGGGTGTGTTCAGGTGCAAGCTGGGGCGGAAAACCAGGCCTGGTCAGAAGCTCATCAATGTGGCTGAGAGAGAGCGAGCCGATCAGATAGTGTCCACCATACGTGGTGTTGAGGGAGAAGAAAAGCTATAGGTCAGGAAAACGTGTTTTTTCGTAACTGGGTAGGGGAGAGGAACTAACTACCCGAGGAGGGCAGAGGAGGACATCGTCCTTACGTTTGTTAGAGGAGAGAAGAATGGAAGAACCTCGCAGAAGCAAAAGAAGATTCCTGCTGTCTAACCTGTTGCCCCAAGCTCCTCTCCCCGCAATGGGGTTGGTCGCCAATCATATGAGCTAGACGAATGACATAACCAGACCTTTTCTATCTTGGGCTATCATCACGTGATGAAGCACAGACCAGATTTGGGCAGAGCCTGGGCTTATCAGTATGCTGGAGCTTGACGCGGCGCGAGTTGCCTGGAAGGGAAGCAAGAGCTACAGCCTACGACAGTGATCCGTGCGAAGCTCGAACCGCCTCACCACATTCAATTCTGTAGCGAAGGCCCCATCATCCAAACACCTTCGTCAACCGATCCGAAACAACTCACTCGTCACTTCACAGACATTACACGCCATGGCTGATCGATACTCCTTCTCGCTAACGACCTTCTCGCCGAGGTAGGCATCCTGTCATGGTTCATCGGAGCTCCTGTACTGACCTCATCCAGCGGCAAGCTGGTACAAATTGGTATACCCTTACCTCATCCGCAACCGCGCCTTGATTGCAAAGCTCAAACGCTGACATTTATCAGAGTATGCCCTCAACGCCGTCAACCAGGGCGTCACCGCCCTAGGAATCAAAGGCAAGCCATTCTGCCTTCCGTCTCGAAGCTGTTCGATCACTTGCTAATCCTTCGAAGCGACAAATGGCATCGTCCTCGCCACCGAAAAGAAGTCCTCGTCACCGCTAGCCGACCCCAGCTCTCTATCTAAGATCAGCCTCGTCACCCCAAACATCGGCATGGTCTACTCTGGCATGGGCCCCGATTACAGAGTGCTCGTTGACAAGGCACGCAAAGTGTCGCACACTGGCTACAAGCGCATCTATAACGAGTACCCTCCGACACGGATATTGGTTCAGGATGTTGCCAAGGTCATGCAGGAGGCTACTCAATCTGGCGGTGTTCGGCCGTACGGCGTCAGCCTGCTGATTGCTGGTTGGGATGAGGGCATCCTCCCCGAGGATGAGGAGAAGGAGGCTGCAGAAGGCGAGGAGAAGAAGCCCAGCGGCAAGACCGGCGGTATTCTGAAGGGCGGGCCCATGCTGTACCAGGTTGACCCGTCTGGCAGCTATTTCCCTTGGAAGGCGACTGCCATTGGCAAGAGTGCGACGTCGGCGAAGACGTTCCTCGAGAAGCGGTACACAGAGGGACTGGAACTGGAAGACGCAGTGCACATTGCCCTTCTGACCCTCAAGGAGACAATTGAGGGAGAAATGAGCGGCGAGACGATCGAGATTGGTGCGTACAAGCAGCATTGGCCTCGGTGACGTCGATATACTAACAACTGCCAGGCATCGTTGGCCCTCCGGCGGATCATCTGCTGGGAATTGAGGGCGTTGAGGGCGCCACTGGTCCTCGTTTCAGGAAGCTTACACCCCAGGAGATCGAGGATTATCTGACGAACCTTTGATTGAATAGCGGATAATGAACGTCATCACCGTGTAACATAGCAGCAATAGAGGGATGTGAGGGGGCATGGGATTCTTCAGCCTTCATGCAAAAGACTCTGTCATGATGGCTCACGGAGACAATGGCATCTTCGGCATTTGATTGTCGCCTGTAGAGTTTGTCTGCCTTGGACCGTGTCTGACTTGACAATGTGCATGCGAAACCACATCGCCCTGATGGCCATGCGGTACCTAGGTACGTTGCCAACGGCAATGAAAAGTATCTGCCCATTTATCCACCTACCTAAGGTACTTATCTGCCTAGGTAGGTAAGTAGAGCCCCTTCCTACCTTGCCTGACGTGGCAGCTTGTAAAGTCCACCACACCCTGCATGGTATCGCACTGTCATGACTCTTTTGCAATCCTCATTTGAGTGTTTGCGATGCGTCAGGATCTGCCACTCAGGGGCCGAGCAGCCATTTCCTGCATATCTGAGCTGGTCTCGCCAGCCAGAATCTGGTGGGCCTCCTGCAGGCCACTCACTCCATCGCCTCCGCCAACGATAACTGCCTGACCCTCGAAACCATCGTCACCAGCTTTACCTCTTCATCTTCCAACCGCCATTGCCTCCCCCCGCACGCATCCTGAGAAAGAATCACAACTGCCCAAAACATAGGACGGGACTGATCATCCATTGCAGTATCCTGAGCTATGTGTCCTCATTGACCCATCTCGGCTTATTCGCTCCCAACTACGACCGCAATTGCGAGTGGCTTGGAAATCGTGAAATACCATACTCATATTGTCGGCGCTTGCAGCGACACTACGCAATGCTTGACGAATCGGAATCAATTTCTGCTTCTTCGTGGAGCAGCGGATATCCAATTGACGACGACTTGACTGCAGAACCAACGTCGGACTCAAACAACTCAACCTCCCCACCGTATGGCCTTCAGGACGACATCGGCCCCCTTGCTGCCACCCAGACCCAGTCGAGTAACGTCACAATCAATGCACGGGCATACCAGTTGGAGATGCTGGCGGAAAGTCGGAAGAGGAACATCATTCTAGCTGTGCGAACCTACCCTCTTGCGCCAACTCAACCTTGATTGACACCTCCATAGATGGACACAGGCAGTGGCAAGACTCAAGTGTACGTTCTCTGCAAGCCGGAATCCGATCATTAATGCTGATTTTCCAGTGCCGTCCTCCGAATTCGAGCAGA